GGGAAATCTGGGAAAGAGAAGAAAGGAGTAATTCGGAAATTTCTTTGAACCGAGAGAAAAAAAATACTAATTGAGAAATTTGGTTACATCCCAATTAAAGAAATTAGTAATTCGTAAATTTCTTACCAGTAAATGTATTTAAGTAAAAAATATAATTTTTATCGCAATTTTCATATTTGCAAATAAACAATGTCAACGTGTTTACTTATGGTTCCAAATGCTTTTAACATATAATATTCTCTTAAAAGTTTGACTGAACGAGAAAAAGAAAAAAATGGGGGAAGATTTATACGAAATAATGACAAGACGGTTTTATTATCTCTATCTGACAAAAAATGCCAAGGAATGACGTACTAATCGTAAGATTTCACTCGATCATTCTTCCTTCGTGTCTCTGTTAAAGTTCAACGTAGAAGTGTCAAGAAAAGTGGAAATGTGGTTTGATCTTAGGTTTCCGAACACGTGTTGGCGCGTGGGAAAAACCGATGATCGGGAAAAGATTAGTAAGAAAAAAAGAGATGAAATGGTGAGACTTTTATCGCGCGGTCGTTGCACCGCGATTACACTTCCAGGACCAGAACGACGTAACATGATTAGTTAATCGAGTGAAGATATCACGCGATGTTACACACAACGATCTCGTTAACAGGCTTCGGTAACATTCGATTCCACGAAATTGCTCGTTTGATAGAATGTGCGAGTTCAAGTTCAGGGAATTGGTGAAAAATCGGTGCGTTCGATTTTTTTACGGAATGGAACACTTCTTTGCACCTTTTCACAGTGTAATATGTAAAATCATGAATTAAATGAAAATCTCAGTGATAATTCGTAGACTGAAAATATTCTCCTTCTCAAGGGATTTAAGTTGAAGGGGCGACGTTAAAACTCAATTAAAAACCAAAAAAAATTATGAAGAATGTGAAAGGAACCATTTAAAAAGATTGTACCTTTTTTAAAATTTGAATCATTTAAATTTGCAATGTCAAACGTAAAAATATGTAGTATTCACTTTTTAATACGCGATAAATTTTAGTAATTAAGTACACTGCGTATGATCTACCTTGGAATATAAAATATGCAATTTAATTCTTGGTAGATTGCAATGTGAAAGGGTTAAATACGGCTTGAATTCGATCATTTCCTTAATTAAAAAGGATTCAACAACGTAAAATTTGACAGTGTGCATGTGAAAAATTCTGCAAACGTTTCTCTGGCAAAACAATTTTGTTATCCAACACTCCTCAAGTATAAAACGCAGTGCAATACGTATTCAAAGTTCATTCAAACGCTGTTCATTATACCACTGTACTTATCGATAGATTTTTTACCAATATCTCAGCTAAGTTTATTTAAAGTTCTTTGACAAGAGTCCTCGATAGTAAAAGAATACAGTTTATTATTACATTGCCGCTCTAATTACTATCAGCAAGTGTATTATTGTTCACTGTAAAGCACTCTACATACAACACACATGTATCCTTAAAAAACAAGAGCAAGATAATTAAAAATATCACACTTTTTCACAAAAATTCCTCAGCAGTCCACAAAATGGATCTTCCAAACACATTTCTTCCTAATTCTCAAAAAAAAAATCGACACCAAATTTCCAAGATGATTTCATCCCCCGAACATAAACTTCAGCACCTAAACAAATACATATCTAATATTTCATAACATTTTCAAATTCTCTCTAGCCGTCTGCAAAATTTGATCAAAATCGACATGTAAAACGTCTACTATCTGGAATATAAACAGCGAGTGACAAAAAAGTGCCAAGGTAAAAACGCATTCATCCTCAAATTACAACAAATTGCAAAATATCTATCTACGATCCATCCCTTACCTGGTGCAATTGAAACAACGCGCCCAGGTCCAGATAAATCGAGAGTTTATCAAACGAAACTCCGTCATCGAGAACCACGGATTTGATTACGTTTTATCGCGAGGACAGACGTCGTCTCCGCTTTGAAATTCCTCTGAACCGGCAAAAGCCGAACGCGCGATTAGTTACTTTCAACGGGAAGGGTTAATTAGAGACGTTCGATCGACTGTTCGCTGTGAAACGAGGGGAGAGATCGAAGAGAGAGAGAGAGAGAGAGAGAGGGAAGAAACATCTTGGACAATAAAATAATCGAAAATGCGTCGCGCTTACATTGTGGTGGTTCATAGAAATGATCGAGACAGCACTTCCACGCGTATAAATACCATCTGCGTAGTTCGATCGAGCTTCAGTACGCCGGCACATTTGACCCCGTCGCCGTCTTGTGCTTCCTAACTCTGGTCAACTCTGTCTTCTTTATTCCTCACTTCGCCGTCACTTCGTTTGGAGAGAGAGAAAAAATGGGTACGTTTGAACGTATTCTGAGAGAGTGGTGGAATGAAATGCATACGTACTTTGTTGCTTGAAATTTGCTTCAGCTTTGAGTGTCTTTGTTGAAGAATAAACAGCCGAGTTGTTTGGAGATCCATGAAGAGTGCTTTTTGTCACAGAAATTAGAATTTCTCACGGTTTTTCATTTTTCTAAACAATAAACAGTCGATCAGTTTGAAGATCTATGAAGAGTGCTTTTTGTCACAGAAATTGAAATTTCTCACGTTTTTTCATTTTTCTGACTGTTTTGAGTAGTACGCTGAATTGGTATAGTTGGTGGCAGGGATACAGTGAAAGCGGTAATTCGGGTAAACCCTCGTTTAGGGTTGTTTGATGTTAATTTGAAACTGGTTCCTCCATTGCAGTGTATTTAAAAAATTTGGCGATGGAGATTCTGTATTGTATATCTTAAACAAAATATTGTAAGGAGAAATTTTAGATGTCGATTCAGAAATTACGGTTCTATTAACTATACACTCCTGAATCCAATCCTCTACACTTTGATTTTTCAATGAGAGTAGAAGTTATTAGGATGAAGTTGCGATTAAAAGAGCAACGAAATTTAATAGTGTCGTCGTTTACTAATTAATTTCATTTAATAGTGTCACAGTTCGTTTAATAATTTCATCAATGTACCATCCATATTACGAAAATAATTAACTAACAACTGTGCCTTTTGTGAAAAATTTGATGGAAGCAATTTGGTTAATAAAAAATGCCCTAACGTTACAGAGCACGGACGCA